CCTGTGACGTAGTTAAACGTGGCGTTGCTAGAGGTTCGTGGCTTACTTGAAATGTACTAGCCCCGGGGTGGTCCGGCAGGTATGACGAATAGTGCAATCAACGCAACCAGACGCACTGCCGCCTTCACAAGCCTCGGCTTGTTGTAACTGACCGTGGCAACTTGACAGCCAACCTACGTGTCAGACACATCGACTACGTTTGAACAGCTCTGAAAGCATGGGGAATCAAGCAGCAACATCCGCCGTCATGGGGTCACCCATGATTTTGTACGATTACGGTAAGCCGGCAAGAACAAAAAGGCGATACGGCGTGGAACTCAGCGGTGCATCAGACTTCTCGCCCTTCAGTCAGAGGATCCGCTACCTGCTACACCTCTCCGACATCGAGTTCTTCCGCGTGGACCAGCCGGTGGTGCTTCCTCGCCCGGACCTGCAAATGCTTGGCATAACGTACCGGCGCGTTCCGGTGCTGGCCATCGGCAAAGATGTGTACTGCGACACCTCTGCCATTGTCGCCGCCATTCAGCACAGGTTCCAAATGGTGAAAACTGGTCCTGCCGATAAGGCGTTTGAAGCGTTCGGGACGCAGTTCTTTGAAAACGTACTCCGCGCGGTTCCGGCAAAGTTCATGAACCCATCTTTTAAGAGAGATAGAGAGACGATTTTCCGTAAGTCTTTTCTTTCGGCTTCAATGCCAATGCGAACGTCTGCCTGACAGCTGCACGCCGGGATGAAAGCTGTGCTTGGCCGGCCAGACCTTGACACGCTGCGTCCGAGTGCTCTGGGCAGCATCATATCCCTTCTGGCAGTGATTGAAAACGACTTCCTCGGCCATGGCGGTCAGTACATCGGCGGAGACAAACCATCGGTGGCAGACGTTTATGTTGCGCCCATTGTCCGATGGACGCTGCTGTCCATCGGGCTCGGAGATGAACCGGGGTTGGGGAAGAGAGATTTTCCAAGGGTGCATTCCTGGTAATGAACATCACCGGCCACCCTGCTCGCTGGCTCTCTCTAATGCATTCACCTCAGGGTATCGAGCTTGCCAATCGTTCAGGCAGAAGAAGTGTTGTCGGGCGAGGAGGCAGCCGAGTTTATTCTGGAGTCGGAGTACTCGGAAGAAAAGCCAGATGTTCCGTCGGACGATCCGCTATGCATTGCAGCGGGATCGAAGGTGTCAGTGGAGAGCGCGGACTCGGCGCCGGGAGCTCACCCACAGTTCGGCACGCTGGCCGGGCTGACTCGGAACGAGACCATGATCGGATTGGAAAACGGGATCAGGTTGCACTTTCCACGGGCTGGGTACATCGTGCGGCAGGCGTGAGGACTGAATGGATGAAGTGTTGAGGGCTGCTGGGAGGATTGTTTGATAATAAAGAGTAGGCGGGAGGAATGGCAGGGTTTACGTCAGGCTCGCTGTGACTTTCCCTGATTGAGACTGACTCGCTTGGTCGGGCCGGGAGTGTCGTCGCACGCGCCCTCTGGCCGCCGTCACTCCCTCTCCTCACTTTGTCCCGCTCCTGCGCATCTTTTTCCACCGACGTACCGGATCTCGCGCCCAAGCTGGAATCGCTGTCTGCGGGGCTCGGCGCGAGCTAAAAGGCGGATGCCGTCCTCGTCTAAAAGTAGAACTGCCCGCGCCCCCAAGAAACGCACCAAGACCTTCACCGGCTGCTGGACCTGCCGCTCGCGAGGCCTCAAGTGCGATGGCGCCAAGCCTCACTGCGAGCGCTGCCAGCGCTCCAAGCGTGACTGCGAGGGCTATGGCATCCGGCTGCACTGGATGGACCAGGACGCAAAGGCCCCGCCGCAGGGCATGCAGATGAGGCGTCTGTTCGACGACGCCGCCCGCCAGAACCCCACCTATTCGGACGCCTTCCTGGACGACACGATAGAGAGCCTGGACGAGCTGCTCGGCCCCTGCGAGGTCCACATCCAGCCTTTTGGCGTCTTTTCCGTCGACGATCAGCCTGACGAGAACGACGGATACTACTCGGACATCAGCTCGCCGGCCGCTTCTCCGCAAAGCCTCAGCAGCTATGACAGCAGCGTGGTGCTCTTCTCGCCCGGCGACTCCCCCATCAATGCTTCGTCGCCCTTCGTCCCGAGCCCGGAGTCGATAGGGATGCGGCTGGTGACGCAGCTGCAACCCTACATCGTGTCCGCGTCGGCCGAGGAGCGCCTCCTCTTCGACCACTGGTCGTCGACGCTGAGCGGCATCTTCCTGCCAACGCCGCACCCGGACAACCCGTTCCGCAACGTCTTCATCCCCTTGGCCATCGGCTCTGGCGATGTCACCGTGGCGCACCCGGGCCATGCCGCGCTGCTGCACAGCATGTACGCCATCTCGGCCTTCCACATCGCCGAGCAGGACGCGTCCCGAAAGCAAGAGCACGCCCTCATCGCCATCAAGCACTACAAGACCAGCCTGGCGTACCTGCGCCGCTGCGTAGCCGAGCCGGGCGAGCAGCCCGAGTCCGTCTTCGCCACCATCATCATGATGGTCTCCATCTACTTCGTCAACGGCAACTCGTCCAACTGGCGCGTGCACGTCAAGGGCGCGCGGGACTGGCTCTTATCCCAAGCCGTGTCCTTCCGCAAGGGCTGCTTCGCTCCCATCCTGTACCAGCTCTTCCGCTGCCTCGACGTCTTCGGCCACTGGCACAGCGACCCCCTCAGCATCTGCGACGCCGACCACAACCCGCCGGCCCTCCAGAGCACCATCACCGAGCTGCCCGACGAAGAGGAGTCGTACACCGCCCCGGACGTCTACTGCCTCGACCGCTACTTCGGCCTGCCCAAGCCCATCTTCAACGCCCTCCAGAGCATGCACCGCTTCCGCCGCCGCAACGGGGACCCCTCCTCCTCCTCAGCCCCCGTCCTCCCCTCCGAACCCGAACTCGCAGCCGTCGAAGCCGAAATCGAGCTCGTCCGCAACCTCGTCGCCGCGCTGCGCCCCTCCGACGGCATCAACGAGCGGCTGCTCGTGCACCACTACATGGTCTTCTACTACGCGTGCCGCATCAACCTGGCCCGCGAATTCCGGCGCCTGCCTCCTTCCGCCGTGCAGGACCTGGTCGGCGAGGGACTGCTGCACCTGGAGCTGACGTACAGCATCGAGCAGACGGTGCGCGTGTGCGGCATCAGCTGGCCGCTGTTCGTCGTCGCGTGCGAGGCTGAGGAGCCGGAGTTGCGGGCCCGCGTGTTCAGGATGTTTGATAAGGGGTGGCAGATGGGGATTGGGAGTATCAAGAAGGCGTCGCGCGTGGTAGAGCGGGTGTGGCGCGAGAGGGATCGCACGGGGTGTTGGGAGGCGGAGGAGCGGCAGAGGATTATGAAGAGTATGGGGATGGATTTGCTGTTGGCTTGAGGGGGATGGAGGGGAGTTGGGCGGGAGAGGTGCGTCCAGCAGTGTGACGATGGCGCGTCTAGCCGTCTGACGATGGTGCGTTCGCGGAGTTCCAGCGCTGTTCGAAATTCGTGGTGCCGCTTTCTCAGGAGTCCGGGCTAGGATGCGGGCACAGCCGCACTGGAGACGTTGTCAGCACGGGTAGATCGGGTCGACAGCATACCGCCTCGGTGATCGAGACCGGTGGATGGTCTCTGCTTTTTAAAGAAGCTTGGGGTGAAAAGGCAAGATCCGAAGACGACATGCATCCAATCATGTCCAATTGCGCCTTGCGGCTGTGGGATAGCGCACGGGAATTTTTTACTCAACCTCCGGCCGGATTGTTCTTCATGGAAACCATGCGTCTTTAGCATTCAAGAAAAGGAATTCTTCACTCAGTCAACTTCCAGTGCTGCGGTGGTGGCCTGTCTACCCGACGATTTCCCCGGGCTGTACATGAAAACTCCGGCCCCACCAGATGAGTTGGCCTCACAAAGGGGTGAAAGGCTAGACACTCCTGCTTGCACCTCACAATTTCCAGTGCTGCAGCCGTCTCGAAGCAGCACGTATACACTCGACGGCATTTTCCATCCTCCGAGCCTCCGGCTATTTCCAGCTCTGCGAGAATTGAGGACGTCGCTGATAAATGACGGCACCATGCCGTCATCCCACGCTGGACTGTTTCTACTCGTATGGCTAGTTAATCTCGTGCGTCGGATCGTTTCACGCCTTTAAACTTTGACAGGATCTTGTTTCTGCCCGATACGAGTCAGTCGACGCATTACGGAAGATGGCTTGCTGCAAGCTGATTGGTCAATAGCTCCGCTATAGGCAGCTGCGGTCGAATTCCGCTCGGTCATCTTCGAGGCTTGATTACCAACTTCACCGTCAACACGAGTCGTCAAGGCCGACTATAATCTCTTAAGGCCTGTATAAGGCTAGCCTTTCGGCTGCTCGGATCTTGCCACCCGGGGAAACTTCCATTCACCTTCTTGTGGGCTGTGCTCTCTTTCGACCATGGGGTAAACTCATACGCGTCGGGCTTTTCGCGGGAGAAACACCAATGGTTAGACCACCGTCTTGCACGGGCTGAAGCGCACCACAATCAAACTACAGCCCGTCGTCGAACGTCTGACAGCCATCCACCATGCCCGTTAACGGATAGTTTCAAAACGGCCTGTCCCTCCCCCGGCCCTTCCCCCTGCGCCACCACCACAACGGCGCAAAACGTCCGCCGCGCGCCCCCCGTCTTTCGACACACACAAAGTCCAAGCTTTTTCTCCGCCGCAGTGACGACAAAACACACAGCCCCGGCCCACCGGTGCGGTCTGGCGTGCTACAAGCTCGTATTTGCTATCAACCCTTACCAACCATCGGAGCGCTGCGCCTTCCAGTCTAGTTTCTCCCCTGCGGTCTGGTTCCGCCCAGGCACCCAACCGTACCTGCAGATGGCACCATGGCACCCATTGCGCACGATCGAGGGGGTTGGTGTGCGAGTCGAGTATTAGAAATGCACTGATGCCTCAATGACCGCGCAAAAGTATAAAAGCAAAGCTGCGTCCTCTCCGCTAACCTTATCTCCACGCGCATCAACCTTAAAAAAAAGGCAAACATGGTTTCCGGAAGCTTGATTTCCTGCCTCTTGGCGTCGGCGGCCGTGTCGTCCGTCACCGCCTTCGACCCCCAGCTCGGCTTCAACAACTACGTCGAGGTCGAAAACCGCACGCTGGACGAGATCTACCAGGCTGCGCTGAAGGAGGGCGGCACTGTTACCGTTTGGCATGGCGGGTGAGTGTTGGAAAAAAAACATCCACTCCTGATCGACAGAAGGATTTTGTATACTGACTCGCTGCGCGCGCGCCGAACAGTGACGAGAAGAACCAGCAGGACTCGCTGAAGGCGGCCTTCGAGGCCAAGTTCCCTGGCATGACGCTGAACATCACCGTCGACCTGTCCAAGTACCACGATGTGAAGGTACGTTCCAATTGACACTCTCTCCGCCCCCCCCTACAGTCCAATTCCTAACAACCGGTCCTCGCAGATCGACCGCCAGCTCGCCACCAACGGCCTGTACGTCGACAGCGTCATCCTGCAGACGCTGCACGACTACCCGCGCTGGAAGTCGCAGGGCGCGCTGCTGCCGTACAAGCCGCTCGGCTGGGACCAAATCCACGACGAGTATAAGGACGAGGAGGGCTACTACGCCGGCATTGGCATCTTCGGCTGGTCTAACGTCTGGAACTCGCGCTACGTCTCCGACGGGCCCAAGGAGTACCAGGACTTCCTCAAGCCCGAGTTCAAGAACAAGCTCGTGCTGACCTACCCCAACGACGATGTGAGTTTGACCCTCCCTCCCCGCCTTGCCGTCCGGCCCACCCCCTTCCCCCCTCCGCCTCAAAACCACCGCAACTAACGCAACTTCCAGGACGCCGTCCTCTACGCCTTCGACCTCGTCCTCCGCCAACAAGGCCTCGCCTGGTTCGACGCCCTCCTCGCCCAAAACCCGCGCTGGGTCCGCGGCAGCGCCACGCCGGCCACTTTGATCGGCTCCTCGAACGGCACCTACACCGCGTCCTTCACGACCGCGCTCGGCCTCTCTCCCCCCGCGCCCTACAACATCTCCTTCCCCGAGACCTCCGGCGCCTTCGTCACGTGGCCGCAGACGGGCGCGATTCTGCGCGACGCGCCGCACCCGGAGAGCGCGAAGCTGCTGCACTCGTTTATTTTGTCCAAGGATAACCAGGAGGCCAGTGGGAGCTGGAGCGTGAGGAAGGATGTGGAGGCGCCGGCGGGGTACCCGGATGCGCTGGAGATGCCGGGGACGAATCCGACGGAGTTTGGGAAGTGGATGGCGGATCGGGCGGCGGTGGAGAGGTTGAGGTTCTTTTTTGAGGATAAGATTGGGACGGCGCAGGGACTGAGCCCGTTGGAGGATGATTTGTAAATGTGGTGGGGTGAGTGATTCGGACGCCTTTGGTTGGCTGGGAGGGATGTTTTGATGACGGATGGATGTGATGTGTCTTGATATTGCGGTTTGGGATGTTTGATGTGTGTATATATGTTTTCTTCGCCTTGTATGTATTGAATGACTTAGAAAAGTAATTGTTCGGAGATGTATTTTTCTTCCTTCGTTGCAATGCCGTGGTGAAGTTGGATGTTCTTGAGTACTCGGCAAATACTTGGTGATTGTCGACCACAAGTCAATTGAGCAGACCTTACAGATGATTACAGAAGCTAGATGAAACCAGCTGGTAGAGGAACGAGTGAGAAGTTGATGTTGTTATAAGCTACTGAGGTGGGATAGCAATGTGCCAAAGGGAAACCAGCTGACTAAGAAAGTAGTCCAGCGATACATGATCGTGCAAGTTACTGTGGATCTGGACTTCCCCTCAGTCGCTGCCCCACAGCATTACATGAGCCCCATCTCTAAATCAGTTCCAGCATTTCACTCGCTCCGCCTCAAACCCGCCCTTGGACGAACTGCACCGCACCTCCAGGACTCAACCAACCATCCCAGCACCCTAATCAATCCGATACTGAATCGGCTTAAAACTCCCCCCATTCGACTTCGCCGCCGAACACGCCGTCAGCCCCACAACCAGATCCATCTCCGCCACAAAGTCCACATGATCGCCAGCCTTCGACACAGGCGGCTCGACGCCAAACCGCCCCGTCTTCCCATCCACCGGCACATTCATGAAACAATTGAACGCGCAAGGGATCCGGTCCTCCTCAACCCCGTACTTCGCCAGCACGTGCGCCAAGTTACCAAAGCACCCCGGCGCCGGGTCGGTGTCGCCGTAGATGATGCGGAACGTGTCGCGCGAGCACGGCGTCAAAAGGAAGTCGTGCGTGCCGACGGTATCGGCGACGATGCGTAGCATGACGTTGCTGCGGTTGCTGTAGAGCGCGCCGCCTGTCGAGAGGTAGATTTTGTCCGCGTAGTCGAAGGTGCGGCCGTTGGAGAGGGCTTCGCGGATGTCGGGGGCGGCGAAGGCGACGAGGTCGGAGACTTGGCCGCCCTTGGGGTCGATGACGGTCAGGCGTTGGCCTTTTTTGAGATGGAAGGCTGTGCCGGTGCGCGGCGCGAGCTGGATCGTGCCGTCTGGGAGGGTTTGGGTTTGTTCGGACATTTTGCTGGGTGTGGGGGGCGAGGGGGTGGAGGTGATGGGTTTGATGGGATGAGATGAGTATGGGGAGGGATGGGGATTGGGAAACGGGTGTATTTATGTAGGCCTCTAGTAAGCTAGTTGGTGGTTGGGCTCTGAGGAGACTGATACTGAATCTCCTGGAATTTGAGGGTAGTGGAGACACTGGACGCTCCTTCACGCCCTATAGATGACAACATGGGGCCAGATGCTGATGGCGGAGTGGTATTAGCGTGGCAAGCTAGTTCACTACGCGCTTTGACTTTCCGATCATTAGCAAGTAGCCGGTTCGAATTTCCGATCAATGGCCTGTGGCAGCTTCGAACTTCCCTTTGCCCTGTCGATCCTTTCGCTCGCCGGGACGAGCTTCCCAGACCTAAAACTAAACGAATTACCCTACGGTATGTCATTGAAAATCACTGAATTATCTTTACATATGTTTAACCTGCGATGAGTATGCGACCCAACTGTGAGTCACAAGGAGTTGGTACATATGAGTCACATTGCCGACACAGTCTTGCAGAATTCCGGGGGTATTCATTCATCACAAACCATATTTAATCCTTCAATTTGCGTTTTGGCTCCCACAACCCACACCGTCCAGACGAATCCCAAACCCCCATCACAACACTCAACACGTATACTCAAACTCCAACCCCACCTCCGGCACCCCCTCAAACCCGTCCGGCACCACATAACTAACATTATAAAACAAATGATCCCGCAACTGACTCCCATACGTCACCGGCAACCTCTCCAACCCCTCCGCCTCAACCTTGACCTCCAAACACGGCAGCTTCTCCAACCCCTCCACCCTATTCCCTGCCAACAACCACCACGGCGCCACGCCCGAAACCGCAAACGTAAACACCCCCGTCCCCTCCTGCGTCCGGTTCGGATAGCGGATCCTCAACGACCTCTCCCCCGCCACCGCCTCCACCGTCGACGCGCTCGGATACAAGCTGAAAAACCCCACGTACGGCGCCGGCTGGTGCGCTGGGTCGCTCGCCCAGTGCACTATCGCCGGCACGAACTGGTCGCCGCGGTTCGCCGTCTCTGCGATGCTCTCCGCCCCGATCATCAGCGGCCCGCTGAGCCAGGACGTCGCGACGCGCACGTAAGACGATGACAGATCTTCTTTGATCGTGCGGTTGAGGAAGCGCGGGGCGTCGGTGTAGGCGCTGCCGGTCAGCCAGGCGGTGAGGGTGGGGGGGATGTAGGAGGAGGTGGTGTGGGCGACGAGCGCGATTTGCGCGCCTTGCGCGACGTCGTAGAGGAGGTCGGCTTCGCCTTTGGGGGGCTGCGGGCCCCGCGCGTGCCCGAAGATGGCCCAGAACCAGAGGCTGAGGATGGAGGAGTGGGTGGTCATGTCGCGGGTGTAGGCGCGGTCGTAGGCTAGTGGGGGGCGCGGGTTAGTGGGGGGAGGTGGAGAGGGAAGGATGGCGGAGGGGGGGCAGAGAGGAAGCAGGACGGGGTCGACTCACGGCCGACCATGTTTTTGAGGTATGGGTTGTAGTGCGCGGCGATGTCCTTCCAGAGCTCGGTCAAGACGTACTCGGAGGTGGACTTGATGGTCGAGTTGGCTGGCGCGTACTTGATGGCAGCGGATAGTGCCCAGATGTCCATTCCGTAGTACGTCGGGGCATTGTACTCGCCGAGAGTGTTCGAGTTGTTCCAGGTGAAGAGCTCGAGGAGGAGCTTTCCTTGCAGGTTGGCAAAGTCGGTGAAGGTGGAGTTGTTCAGGCGGTGGCCGATCCATGATACCACGACGGCTCGCATGTAGGCTGGATTGGAGTAGCCCAGGATGAGGTTGTCGTCTTCAGGGTAGGTTCCGTTGCGCCGCATGCCGCCGATTGCCGCGTGGGTCAGTGATGTTTCGATTGCTGAGACTAGGTCTTCTCCAAGTAGGTGCTCGAACTCCTCGACAGCTTGCACTAGTGTGGTACCGATGAACTCTCTGTGCCACGTGAGCATTGCTACCTGATTCTGGTTGGAAAAAATCAATCACCTCCAATTCGGATCATAGGTTGTCTGGAGGGTAGGTCAGCAGAAGGAAGCTATGATGGTCTCTGGTCAAGCTCACATATATTTCAGGCGGATATAAATCAGAGTCAGGTGTTGGATCAGGTTCTGTACGGCAGTGAGTGGAGAAAACGTCGAAAGACCGGTGGACTGACGATCAGGACTGAGCTTGAATGTTCCATACCAGGCGGAATCAAATTCTTCCGTGTATTGGCAAGCCAATCTGATTTTTTTTTTTTAGCAGTCAGTTCAGTGAAAATCATTCCATTACGACCTACATATTTCTCAGAGCTGCTTTTGCATGCAGGACGTCGTCGCCCTGGTTCCTCTTCAACAGGCCAATGGTATACCAGGCAGTGAACCTGACAGACCAGGGTCCATTATCTGAGTACCAAATGAAGTCGTAGTAAGAATCATATCTCAGGTCCTGCACGGCCATCGAATAATCAAACAAATCCTGAGCGGCTGAGATGATTCATGACAGTAAGTAAAGGCTGACTGGGATGTTCTTCAATAGCAAGTACCAGTTGAAAGAGTTCCATTGGAGTTCGTTGGAGCCCCGAAGGCAACCCCAAACGTCAAAGCAGAAGCGATCGTCAGGGCAGAGGAGAGATGCATAATGGATGCTTTACAAACTCTGGAATTGGCCTCCTGCAGCGCCTTTATCCCCTCCCACCCTCGTATACACGGCCGCAATCATCTCTTCAAGAACCTGCTGTGCAGGTACCACGTTCCCCGCAGCAATGCTCGGCACACCTCGTGAGCGGAGGTACAGCTGGATTGGCCGAGGAACACCTGGTGGGGTGAGATTCGGCTAACCCAAACGAGCAGCTGCGCCGCGCTGGAGGCGAGTACCCCATCTTTGCGGCTGCAACGCCACTTAACCGGCGCCTGAATTCCCCGACCAAGAAGGCCCCGTCGTAAGATCAGTCAGATGTGTGATGACCTGGGCCGAACTTCGCCGCATCGGCAATCGCGGTGAAGCGGGGTTGGGATTTCCGCGCGGAATGTCTTTTGATTCCACGAGCTGGACTCTTGGTGGCATGAGGGGTGATTGCAGGCCACGAGTTAATCAAGAGCGGGGTCTTATCTGTGCTACTATCTTCAACGCTGGCATTGTTAAAGAATGAGGGTTGATCTCCCACCCCACCGTTGCACGAAATTCGCCCTCCGAACGCGATGGGCGCACCTTCAGCGATGACGTCGCCAGACGCTGTGCTCAACGGCCGAAAGGCTGGTTGGTTCCAGAATTCAGCCATTGTCAAGCTCAACTTGATTCTGCTTCTATCGATGATCTCCAGCTATGCTACGGGATTTGATGGCTCGATGATGAGTGCGGCGACCACGACTCTTCCATTGAGGGTCTGCTAACCAAAATAGATGGCCTGCAGTCACTCGACACTTGGAATGACTTTTTCAATAATCCTGGCCCATCGTTACTGTTAGCCATTCCTTTTCCGAAGCATATTCCAGAAGCTGACACTACTGCAGTGGCCTCCTCAATGCGATACAGAGCGTTGGGCAATTGGTAGCGCTTGTAAGTGATATAGTGTCCGGAGACTTAGCAATGTTCTAACAGTTATCAATCAGCCATTCTGCGCTGTTGCTTGTGATTACTTCGGCCGCCGTGCAACACTTGTGGGGGGCGCTTTTCTCATGCTCATTGGAGTAGCACTTCAAGGCGGAGCTCAAAACAGTAAGCAGACATTCACGTGGATAGAATTTCCAATGAGAGAACTGACATGTTCAGCTGGAATGTTCATCGCCGCCCGTGGCCTCCTTGGATTCGGGCTTGCTTTCAATATTACAGCAGCACCCCTTCTAATATTGGAAGTGGCGTACCCAACGCAGAGAGTACGTGCATATTTTGACATTGCATACTACAAAGCTAACGTCCATATAGTCACCACTTGTAAGTGTATACAACTCGCTCTACTCAACTGGCGCGGTGGCAGCGGCGTGGATCACATTCGGTACATTTAGAATGTCAAACGACTGGGCGTGGAGAATTCCATCCATCCTCCAGGCCGCTTCAAGCGTGATCCAGCTGCTCCTGTGCTGGTGCATAGAGGAATCGCCCCGTTGGCTTGTTGCGAAAGACCGCATCGAGAGCGCACATGCCCTCGTCACGAAGTACCACGCTGCTGGCAACCCCGAGGACCCCATCGTGGCCCTAGAAATTGCCGAGATCAGGGAAGCGCTCCGACTGGAGACGGAGGCGGCCAAAACAACTTCCTATCTCACCTTTTTCAAGACAGCGGGCAACAGACACCGATTCTTCATCATCCTCGCTGTCGGGTTCTTCTCGCAGTGGAGCGGCAACGGCCTCATCTCGTACTACCTTACGCTGATCCTGGATTCCATTGGGTACGAGTCGGAAGCTACGCAGACGCTCATCAACGCCTTGCTTCAGATTTGGAGTTTGATCTGGGGCGTTGCATTTGCTTTGGTTGTGAACAGATTTGGCAGAAGGGTCATGTTTATTACTTCCACCGTTGGGATTCTTCTAGTATATATCGGTAAGTGTCATTGATCGCTTCAAAGTGTAGCATGCATAAATGCCGTGCGATCTAACGCAATCACAGTGTGGACTGCTTTGGAAGCAACTTATGAGAAGGAGACGGAACTGAATGGACAAGGCTCCCCGGGAGTGGCTAAAGGCGTCCTAGCCATGATTTTCCTCTACAATTTCTTCTTCTCCATCGGCTGGGCCCCGCTCCAAGTGACCTACGTCGTTGAAATCTTGCCATACAATCTTCGCGCCAGAGTAAGTGTTCATAATATACAGCGGCTCCACGATATTGGCTCACATGCTACTAGGGACTTGTCCTTTATAACTTGTTCGTGGCGCTCGCTCTGATATTCAATCAATACGTTAACCCTGTTGGCGTCACCAATTCGAAATGGAAATGTAAGACCCGACGGCTGTGACTCGAACTCTTTCCGCAAACTAACGAGTGTTGCAGACTACGTTACGTATGATGTGTGGCTTTTCGTGGAACTTGTCGTCGTCTATTTTCTGTTTGTTGAGACGGGCGGAAAGAGTTTGGAGGAGACCGCGGCTTTGCTCGATGGCGAGGCGATAACTGAGAAGCTACAGGAAAATGCAAAGCAAGCAGCAGAGGAAATCACAGTCCACGTGTTTGATGAGAAGAGAAGGCAAGGCGAGGCATGAACCAGGCAAGAGATCTGCAAGTAAGAAGTTGATACCGTGTGGCATCTGTCTGAGGTGGAGCTGTTGAATAGGGTGCACAATGGACTTGCATAATAGTGCAATATAAAGCAAAGCACAATGTGTATTTTTGCAGCAGTTGATGACCAAGAATCATACTACAAGTACGCTTTAGTTTAATCAAAAGTCGGTGGCAAAACCCTCTTAGGGAAGTGTGACTCATACGCCGACATTGCCCGAATCACCTTTCGATGAACGCCACTACATAAGGCAGATTGATCTCACCATACCCAACAGGTACGGTTCCAATTTGGCTACGTCCAACCGCTCCCAAACGTGAGGAGCCACCCTCAGTCGAGACAAGCAGGACATCCAGGTCATATTCCCTGAAAAGGTACTCGATCCCTTCTTCATTGAGCTGTTGCTGATTCCACTTAGCATTCCAGTATTCTGCTAATGTGTTTCGCGCGCCGACTTGATCAGCAGCGACCAGGGTGGCCTGGCAACAATAACCAGGAGGGAATTCGAGGTCTAGGTGAGAATCGTCGAAGGTGATGATGTCGCCGAGTGTGTCAAGTCCTGACGTATTGGTCCGCTGAGTTGTCAAGTAGTGTGTCATGTCTTCCTTGACGTCACATTCTATCCAGAATAAGCTGGTAGAATGAACATTAAGAGATTACAACTTACAACTATCGTTCCATTACTGTTCCTCTCAGCACAACCAACGAGAGAGTACTTCCATTTCTCTACGTTCGGAAGGACCACGGGATCGACAACAGTATCGCCAAGACATTGTATCCTTTCGAAGGTAGCCTCCAAGCTAGCGGTGATGGCACTTCTGTACTACTTCCAGATATCGTACCACGTCTCCCTCATCCTCCTTAACCACCCCTTCCTCCACTCCACTCCGCAACCCACCTTCTCCTCCGCCCTGCACGCCATGGGAGTGGCCGCGTCCGCCATTACCGACCTGCTGCAACGCTTCCGCGCTCAGCATTCAGCCAGGAACATCCCGCCATTTATGATCTACCACGTGCTGCGGGCGGTCACGGTGTTGCTGTTGCTTGCTACTTCGTCGTTGTCGTCGACGACGACGACGAGCAGGCCGCCGCGGCATCGGCCGAATTCGTGGCTGTCGGCGCGGTTGAAGCTGTGTCTCGAGTTCCTGGAAGACGCGGGCCAGACGTGGCGGAAGAGGAGCGACTGTGCCGTGCGGGCGGTGTAGGAGCTGGCGGCGAGGTGGAATGTGGTTTGGGCGTTGCCGAGGAGGTGGAGTGGGGTGGTGGCATACGGGACTGGTTCGTCATCGTCTTCTGCTGGCTGTGCAGAGCAGAGGTGAATAGGTTATTACTCTCGGGAATGCTGGATTCATCGGGGTTGTTGGGAATTGTTGGGAGATCATTCTACGCGTGGAAAGATACCGGGGCATGCAGAAATAATCGAGCCATGACTAGAAACTCGACATGACCGCAATGCCACACAGACGGCCCAAATCCGACGTTTTCGTGTATTTGATGAGCCTGGCGAGCTCTTGGGGTTTTTACACGACTAGAAAGCTTGTCTCGAGCTGTCGCCAGCCTACCTTTCGGAGGGTTGATTGGAAATTGTCTGGTGGCTGCGCCTCGGAGTATGTAAGTATCAATCTCAAAATTAGTGCGGCTTGTGGAACACAAAGCATTCAGCTTCTACGGCTTATTAACGAGAAATGAGACCGAGTTCGACAGCATGGTTGAGGAGCATAAGAACGAAGAGCAAAAACGCGCCGGGCAAATGCAGTGATCAGCAACACGTGGGATCCTTTGGCTCCGTTCTTCTCCGCGCAGAATACGACCTATGGCCTTAAATGAAGCGTTGGCTTGAAGAATAAGTTTTGGAAATCGCCGACAGGTTTCTGTCTGCAGTTCGAAAACGATTTAGGCTATGCCAGCTATTGAAACCGTGTGTGAGGCCGGCGTTCCTTTGCTGTCGAACGTGACGTGGCAGTTCATTCTTCTTTGGGACTATCTGCATTAGCCTGACGGAAACTTCCAGTCTTCCGTCGGAGTTCGGACGATTGAAATTGAGCGATCCCCTGCTGTCAAGCGCCTGTCCAGTGTTGATAAACTTCATTGTCACTGCTTCGCGTGTTTTTGGTATTCATGAACAAGCCACTCTTTAGGCGAAAGAGAAAGAAATCACTGCCGCATTTGATAGACTCAGGCCTGTGAAATCCAATATGAACTGTGGCTCGAGCGGCTGCCGAATGAGACAGAAGTAGCAAGCGTCCTATCTTTTTACCGCGTTGATGACGCCGTGGTATGTGTGTAGAGGGGAACAGCCCGAACATTATCTGCTACCAGACGGGAAGGGCGGAGACACATCCGGTGCGGGGCTCGGCCTCAGGCATACGAAGCCGCGTCAAGAGGCAGTCCACGCTACTCTCGAGTTAGCGAGCTGCTTTATCTGGTAACAAGGCAGGCCCGCTATAGCCTGCATGCAGTCAGAAGTTGGAGACATGCATTGCGAAACTGCGGTGTGGACATAGCAGACTTCATATTGGATTCGGGAATACGGCATTGATCGGCTTCTAGCGCACCGTGAGTTTTGCGATAATAAAGAGCACGGCTGTTAGACGCCCAAACGGAGGACGACGCTGCTAGCGTAAGAGCTTATTTGAACCGCCGGGTTCACCATAGCTTGTGCAGATAGTAAATTCCCATCGAGCATGATCCGGTGGCCAACGTATCCAGACAACTGGAAGATCGCTCGTGTCAAGCCTTGCAGCGTGCCAAGGCAGATCCATCACGCTTCCTGAGTGATCGTAGCCAATGGCCTATGATATAGAAAATCGAAGCGCTAAAGGCGGCCCGCATCATGCTCATTTCAAATCGCGTCGATCCGAACACATCCGCTAGCACCCCACCCAAAGCATTGATTGACGTGTGCGGCGCAGAACCATCGTGCAGCCAAAAATGACGACTCTCAAGGTGTGTTATTTTGCAGTGGATTCTATTTTGACTGCAGCGCATTTACAATCTCCCATCAATGCGTAGGGAAGTTCGAAGCCGCGGACGGGCATAAATGTCGCGCCGAAAAAGAGCAGTCCATGCTTGCTCGCGTGACGGCCCGCAACAGGGAGGACCCGCTGGATGCCGGGAAAACCTTGCCCCTAACCGCCCCCGGTCTTTGAGCGGTAAACACCACTGAACCCTGCAGGCCGCCCGGCCCGATGATTCTAAACGTGGCATTTCCCCTCCCTCGGCGTCTGTCCTGGCGAGACGATTCCTCATCGGCGGGTTGCGCAACCCGCGAAAGAGCCTCATCTACGCCCACCGCTCCTTCATGTACATAGGCACACAGGCCGCTCCCGCACATCATGGCGCCGCAGACCCGATTGTCCAAACTGCTCCAGAGTAACCCCCCTGCCGTAGAGCCCGCCCAGACCCAGCCCACCGCCACAGCAACAGCAACAGCCACAACCCCAGCCACACGTAGACGTGACCGGCCGCCCAAGCAACCACGGCCGCCCACCGCCGCCACTAGTGTTGCTAAGAATAATTCAGCAAGTTCGTTGCCCTCCGTGCAATTCAAGTTGTATGTATTAATCTGCCATTTACAGAGACAGAAAGGCCGCCACCAGAGCGCACAAGTCGCCGCATTCAGAAGCTAGCAGCTGAAAACACCGGACTTGTTGATTCCCAGAGAAAGCGGAAGGTCAGTACATTAAACGTCTCCATTGCTGCTCTATCATTGCCCATGCAGCGCATTGACATGTGGGGCAGCAAGAACAGCCTGCCGCACCGAAGCCAGGGCCCAAGCCGAATCGAAAGCTACACCCCGAGCATCGCCAAGCAAAGGCTACTACAGGCGTTCAGCAAGACTCCGGGCGACAGCAGAACCTGCGTCCGAACCACACTGCCAAAGCATCGACCAGGCCCAGACGGGAACTTCATGGGACCGTCTTGAGGCACACCTCGAGGAACCAATCAATCCAAACTTGGCTGGAAACTACCGAAGAAGTCCCTCCACCAGACGACACCATGGCAGGTCATAGCAGAAACACGTCCAATGCCAGTAATAGTACGTTACGTAGGCAGGCGATAGAGCGGAACGCGGGGATACCTCCCAACGGAACTACGGGTACTGGAGAGAGTACTCCACAGACCAATGACAGCACGAAACAGTCCAGCGACACCAATAAAACTGCTAAGCAACCAAGCAAACCGTACCATGACATGGGCTTCCGGACCATCCTTAGAATAGGCGTGGACGGCGTCCGTCTTATCATGGAAGACGACAATGAACTGTCTGATAACGGCACGGGGACACAGCGCGGCTTGGCCAAGGAGAGCAAAGCTTTATTGGACAAGTTGAAAAAGACGCAGAAATCAAAGCGACCCGACGCTCGATTCGATCCTCAAGCTGTCACGTCTCTCCTGAAGCGATTACAGACTCAAAACGAACGTTGCATTTCCCATGAACTGCACCCCATCGTATGTCCGCCGGCGGGAGTTTTCCGAGACATCAGTTTCAACGACAAAAAAGTACGGGACAAGTATCTCAACTTAGCCTCTCACTGGGATCAGAAATGGGGCAATCAGCCGCTGCTGCTGTCCGGCCTTGGCGTGCCTAAACCTGACTACTGTGTGGGTTTCTCGTTCGAAGCTTTTGAGGACAAAGACCGGTACGAAAAGCTCAGAATCCTTGCCAATGAGCGAACGACGTTCATGCCAACATCCCTGATGTACCTTCCATTTCTGACATGCGAGGTAAAGGGGGTAAACGAGAAAATAGAAAATGCTGAGAATCAGAATGGCTTTAGCATGCTGGTCATTTTTCGATCAATGCTTGAGTTGTTTCGAGCCGCCAAACTCGAACATACCTGCAGCGGTCATATTATGGCGTTTTCGATATCCTACAACCATCAATTGGTGTACATCTATGCCTACTATCCCATTGTAGACGGAGAGAAAGCCACAATCTACCGACATCAGGTGTACGACTATCGGCTTTCGCCCCGTGAGACTAAAGACACTGCTCAAGCGTGGAATTTTGTTCGGAACGTATACGAAGAATGGGCTCCCAGGCACCTTTCACGCCTGCGTAAAGCGATTGACGCTATAAAGCTTGATACTCCCACTCTAGAGTCTCGTGCCCCTCTTCCAGCCGCGTATTCAGATCCAATGAGCCTGGGTAGCAGCTTTAGGGCCAACCCGAACGACAATCCAAACAGGCGCCCTGCGCCAGAGGAAATTGTTGAGCCGCGACGTTCGAAGAGACCGAGGAAGTAAACTCTTACTATTTATTATGTATTATTAAGGATTGATTTGCGAGGCGTTATGGATGGAGTTTGCAAGATTGTATATAAGATTTACGGTATATATTTGGAGGATAGTAAAATTGGACGAACAGAACAGGCACTAATACTGTCTCATTCCAAGCCGTCTGACAAGGTATATAATCCAGCATGCTGAGATTCCCGTAGCAGCGTAAAATCCGCGACGCTGAGAGCTCTATTTCTTGAAGCTCTTTTCCAACAAAACCACCCTTCCCATAGGCTAAGCGTACCGCATTTACCGGGAGCCGACGTCGCAGTTGGAAGTCGGGTCGTCAGGAATGCAGGACGCGGCCTCACGCTTGTTGTTTCTGATCGGAAGGCTCCAGTCGCGCTTCTGAGAGCCCGCATCGCAGTTGCTGGTCGGGTCATTAGGAACACACGGCGCGGCCTCACGCTTTTGAGAGCCGGCGTCGCAGTTGCTGGTGGGGTCGTCGGGAATGCAAGGAGCAGCCTCGCGCTGGATGTTTACGGGGGATGCAATGGCGAGAGTGGTTTGAGAATAATCTATCAGCGTTCAGGTTGCTTTTTCGGCATATTAAATTCAGCTTACCCAGAAGCAGACCGGTGACAGTGGAGAACTTCATTGTGGAGGATATTTGTGGAACGTTGACTTCTGCAATCGAGAGTTTGTTGGCTTATGGTGGGACTCGAAAGGACATTACGCCGGCTCTTTATAGACGAGAACCAGCATCTCGCCTCCCGCCGACTTCGGTAGACCTGGGAACAAATACGGAAAGCCGGAACGGTTGGCTCTATAGGTGTATTGATGGCCTGGACTTTGTATGACGTGAAGTGGAGAGAAGGTGGAGATCTCCAATCAGATAGCTTCTATCAGATAACTTAATGCCGCATAACCTATTATGCCTTTAACCGGTGTGGTTGCTCCACAGTTCCCCTGCCGATCAGCATCTTTTCAATCTGCGCATAGACTTTCTTAAATATGCCATTTTCTTGGCGACGGGAAGTGTTGCTATAGTTGCTCATCGGATCTTCTCTCGGGCCAGTAGCTACACCACTAACTCATCGACCGGTACACAGCGGTGGATCGGAGACCTTACCGCTGCGAGTGGGCTTTGCTTAACCCACTATCTAAGGCTTACCATAAGGGTTGGATTGGTCAGAGAATTTCCTGAGTGTTTCTTACTCGCAGCAAAAATTTAAATTCTTTGACTTCTTAAGAGAACGAGTGTCACTGAAACTCCCGCCGCTTGGAACAGACCCTTGGCCCAAACTGGACGTCATGGTAAAAAGAAGCAAGTATCGTCAGGCGTCCAACGAAAAGGTATTCCCAAGCAACACTGCCCGAGGCACTAAAAAAGCTTGGTCAACCTATCGGCTAATCTCAATTACGGCTTGATAGTGTTCTCCACAAATATTACTGGTTAGGGTCAATCCGAGCCGTTGATTTGTTCGCTTTGCATTAAGGCCTCTTTGCTCGGGTGAGATGCATTCATATCCATCAACGGGGGACGAATCGCTCCCCGGGCAGCACTTGAGACAAAGGAGGCGAGCTGTGGTGGATTGTGTGTGGCTTTCTGGACGTTGGTTTCGGCAAAGCATATGGCGCAGCGTGGCTAAGAAAGTGCCCCCGCAACTTCTACATAGGTTGACACAGATCATGTCCGCGGCTGTGATCGCCGCTCTCCACAAAGTCTGTCAACTTTGATACCTTATTTTCCCCACTTACATACTGTGAGGAGCATCCAGTGCAATATGCGGAAATTACCCAAACGGTCGCAGTGCGCAGGCACTGTATCTTCACTACGGCACCCGATGAATTTGCATCAATCTTTCACCCTCTCAGGACGGCAATGTTGTTCTCAGACACAGAATTTACATTTAATGAAAGGACTGCCTGTGTTTCCTATTTCCTTCGCGCTAAGCTATCGACCGCACTGAAATTTCTAATACCTGCAAGGTGTGCTAACGTCCTATACTTAGCCTATCTTCGTATCCGTGTATTCGCGAACTGCTGTAATACGCGTATAGCCCATCGCGGCCACGTAAACTTCGAGTATTCTCGAACACCACACGCATTCAAAAATTCACACATAAATGCAGCGTCCGGGTGCAAGCCAGTACATCAAATCTGTACCTTCTCTCATTTCTCGCCGTGATTCCAAAGGCAACTATCCCGCCAAAGACGCGCGGCCAAACTGCAAAACTCCTCCCACCGCACCAAACCCAATCGACACAAAACATGGCTCGCCGCGGCCACGCCCTCTACGCCTACCGCCCCAGCAAAGCCGGCGCCATAATCTTCTGCCTCCTCTTCATCGCCGCAACCGCATTCCACCTCTGGCGCATGATCCGCTGCCGCAGCTGGTTCATGACGGCCTTTGTCATCGGCGGCATGCGTACGTCTTCCCCTTCTTCTTCTCCTCCTCCTCCCACCTTGCCCTCCCTTCTCCCATCCTCCCATCCTCCCACATCCCACTAACCCTTTCGCCCCACGCAGTCGAGTTCATCGGCTACGCCTGCCGCACCGCCTCCGCCTCGCAGCCCTTCAACAACTACACCCTCTACCCCTTCGCGATCCAAAACTCGTACATCCTCCTCGCGCCCACCCTCTTCGCCGCCAGCATCTACATGACGCTCGGCCGCGTCATCCTCCTGACGGGCGGCGAAGCGCGGTCGCCCGTGCCGCGGCGCTGGCTGACGAAGGCGTTTGTCGCCGGCGATATACTGTGCCTGGTCGTGCAGGGCGGCGGCGGGGGCATGAGCACGGCGGCGGCGTTGAGTAGTAGTGGTGGTAGCGCGCTCCTGGCGAATGCCGGGAAGGGGTTGACGATATTCGGGCTTGTGGCGCAGCTGGGGATCTTCGCGGGGTTTGTGGGGGTTGCGGGGACGTTTCACAAGAGGTTGAATAAGTGGCCGACGGCGGGGGCTATTGCGCCGGAGGAGGTGGCGAGGGGTTGGAAGAGGGTGATGGGGGCGTTGTATGTGGTGAGTGGGTTGATTGTGGTGAGGAATGCGGTGAGGGTGATGGAGTATTGTGAGGGGATGAAGGGGTATATCATCACGCATGAGGCGTTCTTGTACGTGTTTGATGCGTTGTTGATGTTTGCAGCGATGGTGGTGTTGGGGTGGATTTATCCGGGGGAGCTGAGTGTTCTGCTTAAGGCGGGAAATGTGGGCGGGAGTGCAGCCGGTCGCTTGTCTGGGGTTAACGAGCGGTTCTCCGGAGAGAGTGAGCAGGATGAAGAGGTGGCCAGCTCGCGGCTCGGGGCTCTGAAAGGTAATGTCCATCTGGTCCAGAGAGGGTAGAGGTAGATAGATTAGACGGTGGGGGTAAGGTTCCTATTGCCCTTGCTCCATGACAACAGCATTCGGCCACTCCAACCAGGGCCGCCAGTATCTCCCAAGCAGTGTAGTGATAGCGCCAACCACTCTCGTCCCAAGACCTCCGACAACCCAGAGCTTCCGGTGCCGATGCAGCAGCGCACCATAATAAGCAAGAACGATCAGAGCCTCGGGCCTTCTCTGCTGCACGAGTGCGACAAAATTGACAGGAATCATTATCGGCCACGCAAGTACCGCGGCCGGCGAGGGTGCTGGCTGATCCCGCGGCTGGCGGCTTTCCAGATCGAAGGCCCATTCCAAGTGCTGAACAGCATCTCCGTAGCATCTTAGCGCATCTTCAGGCAGACCCGACGCCTGAAGGTCATGTAGAAGCTGTCGGAGCTGAACATGCGCGGCTTCACCGCCATGACGGCGTTGTTCGAAGCACTGAATATCCTGTTCGTAAGGAGTCATGATACTCCCCAGACCGGACTGTGTCAAAGAGCTCCATGATGCACCTATCACTGCACGAACACCTCGGTGTACGTCTACGTACTCGATGAAGCGGTCCAGCAGGGCTGCATCATCAATACTGGGATCGTGACAGGATAGTGACGTGTCGGCAAGCATGTGTGTGCCCACCATTGAGGAGAAGAGCAAGGTGGGCACGGCTGATTCCGCCGTTACATCGAGAGCCTGAGGTGCGGCATTGAACAATTCCAGAGCTTGTGCCTGGAACGCCGCGGAATCGGTGCGATGGCCAAGATGTAGGGCGGCTAGAGCAAGCATAGAATGGAGCAGAGGTGGGTATCTCAAGGCAGCAGCGATCGCGCAGGAAGCTACTCCAGACTCTCCCAACGAGGGAAGAGATAGACCAAGTGAGTTGCAGGAAACCAGTAGGAAGTGCGAAAGGTACTGCATGTGGCGCATATTGACCGTCAAGTCGTCGGCTGAGACGTGCGTGGATTCCGGTAATGGAACCGTAAGGTAACCGGAGCCATCATGACCCTGGCGCGGCACAAAAGTTTGGAATTGGTTTTCAGCTCCGAGAGCATCGAAGACAGAGACGTCTGGGGATGTTTCTGGTGGCGAACAGGGAGTTGGCACACATCCGGGAGTGGACGGGCTAGTGGCCGAGGTTACCGCGGTTGCGCTCCTATGGGAATGGGAACTCGGAGATCGGCGCCTCTCGCCATACGAGCACTCGCGTTGAGAAATACGGCAGTTGCTGCAAGTCGGATGCTGCTCGTCGCACTAAGAGAAGGCCGGTAGAATTAACAGCCGTGCTGATCGTAGATTAGATGGTCGTGAACTACCTTGATGTGCCTCCGCTTGCACGTTAAGCATCCGCGACGAGATTTCGTATGCGTCCTTCGAGCCATGATTTGATTTTGAAAAAGTCTGAAAGTGAGGTGAAGAGGATACGGGACTACGTGGATGGTAACTTGAATAGGAGCAATACATATACGCGTATACGTATTCGCTTTTTAGTACATACGAATACGCGGGTCCCCACTAGTCTCCCGCCTAGCCGTCCACCCCTTGCAACTCGGTGGAACTCCGACATGAAATGATTCACGTGGCGCAGCCGGCCTCCGACTCTCCCTCTGAGTCGGCGACATCCTTTCTAACCTCAATTGCGTAATCAGGAGCCTTTTCCCGCTATCTCGTCCACTTCTGCAGCTTTCCACATAGGAGAGCGCGCCGGTGATTGCCGCATTGGTGATTGTGAGTTGATTTGGACATGCGGAGTCTCACAAATTTACTACCTACCTCACCTATACGCTTGAATCATCAGAAGTTTGACTTATGATAGGACGGAGATTTTATTGATCGCGAGAGCCGTTATGATCCATACTTCTCCGACAGTTCCTTTCTCCTGACCAGAATCTTGATCACATTCGAAAAAGCGAACACGCCATTCAGCGTCACCAGAACGGCTCTACAAAGTCTCATAGGGACCCAACCAGGCTAGAAGTGAGCGAACCGCGCTCCCCGAGATCGGGATCACGCCGACTCGATAGCTGAACAGACCAGTATGTGGACTTGCCGATGGTTCTTGAGACGGAAAATGACCAATCCCCGCACTTTCACGGGCATTTCACGGAAAATTGGCGGATCTGCAGCCGTGGTGCGCATCTGGCCCGCGGATAGTGTCGACAAGCTTCTGCGTGCTAAACCAGGCTCGGCAACAACCGCAAGCGGCTGATAAGCGTTCTTCTCAGCCCAGTTGGTAGCATGTTCTTACCAAGCGCTTTCTCAGCCACCAAAAGGCGTGGCATTTGCTTAGTACTTGCATGATTGCTGCGAGACTTGCCTTGATGCCTGGCGATCGGAGGCATATAGGATGCAAATCATCATATGTGCCGGTTGGACGCCCGGCAGCCATGACGTTATGTCATTCCTTCGAGCCGTAAATAAATTCTAGAACACCACGAAACAGAGGATTGTGGGCTTGGCAAGCTCGGCTCAACAAGATCGTTGGACGAACTTCTCCCACGGTGCTTGGCATTTTCACACTCCTTTCACTGTACAACATTACCACGGATCCTCATAAGAGGATTCCTTTCGATCCAAATGGCAGTCGGACTATCCGAGCTCTCGATGGGTCGAGATTCATTCTAAGGGCGCCATTCCAACTGTTCTCGCCCATTCTCTGTTCAGCTTTTAAGGTAGAACCGGAATTCCTACGATCCTTCGCAACAGCACCAGTGCCTCCATCTCTACCACAGCCAGATTGTCCTTGGAATCTTTAGTGGAGAGCACAATCTACTCCATGTCCCCGAAGATGACGTTCTGGTATGTGCAACGTGGAACTCTTTTGGCTATCTAATGGCGACACTGCTACCATTGACCTCTACGAAGGCGGGGCGGTAAACGAGCGGTTACAGTGCAATATTGTATAGCCTCCTTGCCTAGTTCGGGACTAGTGTGTATGAGATACCTTTTATTACCACCACCATTATATAATGTCACTTGCAACACCAGGGTGTGTCGTTTCCCATCGGGAAACGTTTTCGCTGGCTTCACGGACCAGGCACGACTATACTTCAAATGGCTTTACGTATCTTACTGGGTAAGAATATGCACTCCTTAAGGTTTTTTATGGGTTTAGAAGTTCGTCACACAGAAGTAACGACCCCCTGCTTTCTCTGCTGGCCAAGAACAACACACTAGCTGCGTATTCCCACCGTTCCCCTCTCCCCGCAACTCATGTCGATCACTTTCAAATTTCGCTCTCGCTCATGTCCGACACTATTTTGCACCTCCTAACTGCGTCGCTTAACACCCCGCAGGGCTTGTCGGCATGGCGCTTTACGGTAGCGGTCCTCACTGGGTAGGAGCCGCGCAAGCCTTACAAAGAAAAAGCTAAATGCTTAACATACCATCGTCGTACACGGTTCACTTATACGTAGCTAGGTTTAGTCTACATGAAATCCAAATCTACCGCCATATCCATTAGAGGACTGATTACGTATATGGCTAATGATTTCATCATCCAGTTTCCCTGGCGACCGATTATATAAACGCATATCCTCTGCCTGCCTTCGATTCATTTCTCACACACACATTTCTTTGGTCAATTGTAAGATAGAAAGCTACACAATTTCCACTCTGAACGGAAGCCTTACTCTCCCTGACCAAAATGTCGGTCGTCACGTTCAATAAGGATACGGTGAAACTCAAAGATCCGCCGCCCAACATCAGCGACATCGACTTCTACGTCCCGGACGGCGATGCCATCACTCAGAAGTCCACCGCACTCCTTGATGGGCGCTCTACAGAGTGTATGGTCACGTACACACCCGACCCCAGGACTAAAAAACAACTGCCAGCCGAGAATTTCAAGGTCACTAAAGGTGAAGACTTTCCCGATTATGTTGAGGTGACAATCCGAGGTATGTTGACTCGATGGCCCACGTGTAGTCATACTTACTCTTCTTAGGCCCCACCAAGGAAAACGAACAACATGTCATTAAAGCGAGCGCCTCAGACGGGACCACTACCCCAAATGGGGGCCCCCCATTCACCGCCACGTGGACTAAGGTGTGAGTCTGGACAACGTAATGGGTCGTGGGTCGTGGATGATGTCTTGTTGATGCGAAATGGGCCCAATCATTCCTCTGTTTGTCATTTGATCAATTGATTATTAGTCTTTCATTTTGAGACGACTTTACGCAAATCGCCATGTAAATCAAATCAAGAATAAATACACTCATTTCAACAATCATTTGGCCGGTGAAGCCTAAATTCAGTCACTTTACAAGCCTAGATGGTATTCGAGAACTAGCCTAATCGGTTGCAATCATCCAGAATTGATTTCTACCGTGTGATACCTCCGGCGTTATTGCGCGACGTGGACAAAGTGTCGTTTTGTAGGTGTAGGTAAAAAGTAGCATGAGGACTGAGAGTGTGGCTACTTAGGCGCAATGCAGCAGCACGTCAGTGCTGCAAATATCCGACAGTGGAATTGTCGACAAAGACATTCAGCTTAGGCGGCAAGGCTATGCAGCCACAGATCGAGCGCGCTGGGAACCATACGCCGAGGTGATTTGAGGTATTATTATATCTACCAAAGTTCTGGACATGTAAACGCTCAGTAGCGTTATACGTATGAATGGATTTTTATTACTGCCGTCAGCTGATCGGTCTACATACTATGTTTGGAAATATAACGCATTACAAAGCTCTTGTCAGGTGGCTTACAGTATTTAAAGCGGAGTTCTTTCCGCTCTTTGTGTAACTATCTAGCGGTGAACGGATCAGTCATAATGCAGGTGTACACAAGCCGGTATCAAGCGAATCAGGAAGCTTTCCATCCTCCCTGCAAATGGCAGCACGGACGGACCCAATCCTTTCAAACCCCAGTAAGACGATGATAGATTATCAGCACCACTTGAGTATCGATCAGCCACGAAATCTGAGCTGTCGCGATCGGCACATCTCTTGCGGTACATTACCTCATGTACGCCAAGGCTGTCCTACCCTGGCACGGCGTGGTATGCTCTATTAAGTGGATAGATCTTCCTCGTTGGCTCCCAATGATGTCTATATGCAGTGAAATACTCAGTAACCCTGCTTTGTGACGTAACTTCGCTTGAGAATACTCTTAACGGACTAATTCTTTGCCATAAGAGGCCAAACAACTATTTAAGATATCGCTTCATACGAGAGAATAGCAGTAAGATCAGGATTCCTGCACAATTCTCCATGGAAGGCGCATGGCAGGAACATCGCAGAAATGATCTGGACTCGATGGTCCTGGACTTCTTGCTCGAGAGGGTGCCAGAATTCGTTCAACTCGAGGTTGTGAGGAATGAGGTAAGTGCTAAGACCTGACAAAGGAAAATTCTACTGATCACGAAAGGGATGGGCGAGTGCGGCTGGAGACAAATACTTCAAGAAACAGCGTAGAACGGCGGATAACCCCGGGAAACGCCTGCGAAAATATTTCTTCGACATGATGCAAGATATTGGTAACGAAATGGATGATGCAACAGGCTTCATGCCCTTTCCGAGTGCCAGTAACAGCTGTACGAAGGTTTTGGACCTTTGCATGGCACCGGGTGGCTTTTCGAATGCAATACGGCACCGCCACAATACAGCCCAAATAGCAGGACTCAGCCTGCCGGTCTCTCTTGGCGGCCACCCTCTTTTACTGGACAGGTCCAAGCCGAAGCTCAGAGTCAAATTCGCTGATATAACAATGCTCTCTTCTGAGATGGGCGTGTCTGCAATCTCACCCGACCATCCAGATGCTGCCAATTTTTCCCAGGACCGCCCGTACATCAGCGAGAGATTCGACTTAGTCATTTGCGACGGACAGGTGCTACGTACCCAATCTCGACAGTCTTACCGGACTGAGCTGGAAGCATGTCGTCTTACCACGAGCCAGCTGGTCCTTGCTTTGCAGAGGATCAAGATTGGTGGGACTCTAGTTATTCTTCTACACAGGCTGGACTACTGGGACAGCGTCCAGCTGTTACACACATTCAGCGGGTTCTCCAACATACAGCTTTTCAAATCTGCAAATCACCATGCCATAAGGTCATCCTTTTACCTTGTGGCCACCAACGTTCAACCGAAGAGTCCGGCTGCTGCTGCGGCCATCGAAACCTGGAAGCGCGCTTGGTCATCTGCCACTTTTGATTTTCGCAGGGAGGAATCAACAACTGAAGAAGCTGCAATATGTCTGAACGCGTTCGGAGAGACTCTCATACGACTGGGAACGCCAATCTGGAAGATCCAACTTGAGGCACTCCGAGGAGCTAACTTCATAAAGGAAGCAAAATGCGGTTAGGGAAGGATAGTGTATAGAAACTTGGCCAAGCTTTCCGGGCCACAAATTCCATTTATTTTTCATGAGAAACATTGGACGGGCCAGCTTATTATCCCAATTCGTAGATGTGACTGGGAAGCTACCTGATAGGCGTCAATGCAGGTACCGTTACGAAGGGTGAATCACGTCCGTTTCTTCTGCGGTGCGACATACTAGGTAAATGACTAGTTATAGTTCACGGCAAGACGTTGGAGTTGCTACCTCAAACTTTCTCCTTACGGTACCTTATGCAAGGGACCCCCCAAACCCACCAACCCCCAACTTCCCTTTTTTTTTGAACTCCATCTTCCGGACATGCCGATTCGGCAAGATCACCTCAATAATGTTTGCCAAGATTCAGCTGCCCCGCTAGCGAATTGAGGGCTGTGCAATCTTGTGTCATATCTCCGTTACACAAGGCTGTGTGCATGCATTTGTCTAGCTATCAGCCATGCAGCTTGGCTCATCCACTAGGTACTGTAACGGCGGTGGGTGACACTTGAAACGAAAGTTCCCAGCCTCGATGTGCGTGACTTGCATATGCGAGGTAGAACCAGGTTATGACACCTTTGTGCACGTGAACACATATAAGTCTGAGTAATGGCGGATTGTAGAGAACGCCAACCATATGGTGTAACTGGATGAAGATAACAAAAAAGAACAACAATTCTCAGCATTAAGCTATCGAATATGCGCATTGGCTTCACAATAAGTAGCAAAGATCCATACGCTGAATCTGACGAACAGCCGGTCACTTCCTATTCGCTAGCGAAGGTATGGGTCCATGACTGCAGTGTGACAGCTTAGCTGCGGGGATTGCTCGACGCATAGCAGCTAGTCACATGTAAGACGCCCGGAACTGGCCCCGCTTCTATAGGTAAAGCCATTTTAACGCTCCCGCCCCTCGCATGGATAAGTGAGTCACTCTTGCATGACTTTTTACCACACAACTACCGCTCCCAGCGAACCTCTCTTCTTAAACTGAATCTACACGCCAAAGAATAGCGCATCCCATTCTACGTACGTACGTACATTGCACAAGTCATCGAGAACTTGACTGACGATGCGACTTCCCACAGAAGACAATGCGACCATCGCAAGGCAGCGTTATCGGGGTATTGCTCACGCTTCCAATCGTCGTGAACGCCGGTCCAGCCGCGTACGGCGTCTGTCAGGCTGGATGCTCAACGGTCGTCATGGCTTGCTACGGAGCGGCAGGGTTCACGTGGGGAGCAACAGCAGGAGCGACGGCCCCGGCTACTGTCCTCGCCTGCAATGCGGCATACGGGACCTGTCAGGCAACTTGTGCCGCTCTTTTGCTGGCGCCGACGTTGTGAGTAGTGAATATGAGGATCATCTGATATAACACGGTGTTTGCAAGCGGGCAAAATGATGAGTATGATATCTTCCTGAGTAGTAACCACCATGCCGTGCTCAAAACTCTCGGCAAAAATGGAAGGAAATCTACGTTGAGGATATCACCACCTACGTTACACCATCGGGGGCGGGGCTTTCCGCTCCCCACGGTGTGCAAGGCTGCTGCTTGCATCTCTGATGCTCGCATCGTTTCACACCACCGCATGTTGACACATTGAGCTACCTGCAGTCTGGCAGCTGGACCCAGCAAAGTGCTCTATCCCAAGAGGACCGCTCAGCGAGACTGGTAAAAAGCAGCGACGACCCAGGCGCCAGTACGGCCAATGTTGTGGACGCGATCGAGAATCACAGTTCGCGGTACAGCTACGCTGTGTCAATGCATCGCATATCCTTCAGCGCAATCTGAGTGCACCTGAGCCTAGGCGGCACGAGATTTTAAGAATTTGCTTGTGCTCAGCAACGAACAAATGGACAAAAAGCTCTAAGCAAAAACGCCTGGAGAGTGCATGCACTGCCTATCCAATTGAACTGTGCATGCATAATGCAAGGGTGGATGTGACCATCCATTTTGGTTGGGAAGTAAGCCTATAATTGGTGGGGACATTCGTGCGGGGTGCGGAGAAAATTTTTGGCGCGGTAGTACGGGCTGCTAACCCCCTAAATATTAACACATACCTTCCAGCCGGCATAAATACCTACGGTCACGTTGTTGATTATATAAGACTGACTAAGATAACCCATTTGATGGAGTATCGCATGATTTCTATGATGTTTCGTTGTTCGCTACCACACCGTTTGCTGTTTACTAGTAATCATTCATCTCGCAACGTATTTGGATCTAGATCAATTCGGGGCATTCGTCACCATTCAATCGAATCCCCAAATCAAAACAAGAAGAAACAAAACAAGAAGCGCCCCACCAAACGTGGCAACTGGCCCAAAAGCGGTCTCAAAAAGCACATAGCGACGATCTATCTCACCAAACTCCCTCGGAGCTCAACTGAAGTCAACAGCAAAACCGCACCAGAGTACGTCTGCTCCTACAACTGGTCAACGTCAACCAATCCTTCAATCTACGTACCAGGTAAGCGCACCGATATCCCCATCCTCCCCACCCTCTCTGTCTTCCCTCACTCACTTACCCCCCCATTCATCGGCAGGCGCGCCTCCCAAATGGACAACCCCCGCCGTCCCCGTCACCCTCCCGCCGGACCGGGGGGTGTACTTCGTCGACCAAAACCGCTATAAGATGCCATCGTGCCCCTTCTCCCCGCTCTTCGCCGCGCTGCGCGTCACCAACCCATCCTTCTCCTTCGCGGGCGCCGTCGACCTGCTGGCCAACCGCAGCAGCCTGCGCAAGCTGCTCGGCTTCGCCAGCGGCCACGCCCCCCAGACGCAGACGTTTCGCATCGACGCCACCCTCGTGCGCGACAACACGCTCGTGCTGTTCCGCCACGACCGCACCCTGCGCGAGGTACTTCTTCCCGGCGCGAAGAAGCGGCATGAGGCCATGAGCTACGGCCACGGCTTCGAGGCGGCTTTCACGGCGCAGGAGGAGCCGGCGCTGCGGCGGCAGCAAGCCCGCGTCGGCGGGCATTACCGCACGATTGCGTACGAGCTGGGCGCGCTGAGATGCGTCGTCCAGTGCGAGGTCGATGCGTGGTACGACGAAGAGCGAGGCTGCCCGGACGACGAGCCGGCGGCGGCTGGTGCGCAGTCCAAAGGCGAAAAGCAAAGGGATGAGGACGTTGCGGCACGACGCTCTGGGGTGTCTTCGACCGCTTCGGTGACGTCGGCCCCGTCGGCGGCGGCTCAAAACAAGACCCCTCGACGGCCGAAAGGGATGCGGAAGAGCTCCTCCTCTGCTGCCCTCTCGGTTTTGGACGGCCGTGTAGAGCATCAGCCGTCGGCCCAACAGCTCGCCGAGCTCAAAGTGCGCCGCAAAAGCCCGTTTCGCACGTTCAAGACCGTTGCGCAGATGTGGCTCGGCCGGACCCCGTACCTCATCAGCGGCCTTCACAATGAGGGCGTGTTCAGTATGATCAGAGTCGAAAACGTGGGCGAGAGGTTTTCTTCGTGGGAGAGCCTTCACCAAGAGTCGTTGAAGAAGCTTGTGGCTGTCATCACGGAACTGAAAGAGCTCTTAATTGCGCAACGACAGAATATGTCCGGGACGAGTGGTGGGGGAAGCCCAGCAAGTATGACATGGGGAATTGTATTCGACCACAAGAAGAAGCCTGCAAGACTATCGGTATATGATTTGACAAAGAAGTCGAAGACATTTTCTGTTCCGCAGGAGGATGTGGAGGCGTTCTGGCCAGAGCATTGATCGATTCGTGGAGTGCGGCGAGGTGTCATGCGAGCTGAGTTCATTTTTTATTTCTTTGAATTTGTAGAGGAAGACTTTGGAACATAACTTTCTGTAAACTATTGTTAGATTTATGGTGCAATCTGTGGTAATTCCACTGAATTTCGGGTGCAAATTATAACCCATGCAGTGACGATAAAATATTTTTCGACGCAAAAAAGCATTGGACAGCCCAACAACTACTAGAAACTGGACCTGGAAAATTTGAAAGCTGTACACATTACAGGAAAGGCCGAATGCGTGGCTTGATTATTTGTCCTGAAGAAAGATACCCGCTGACTACTGCTGCCGCTACGCTTCTTCATCCTCAAGCCCCTACAGTATTCCTCCAACTAATCCTAGGTGAAATTTGTCTCAGAGCCAGAAAAGGAATCCTCAGAGCCATCGCAGCTGTCAGAATCCGACATACACGTGTCTTCTGAGACACCTTCAGCCAATATTCCACTTGATGCCGTCGGCGCGGAGATGTCATTTGTTGTTGAAAAAAAAGGATGGTGTGCGCTCAGCAGCTTTCCATCACAAACGTACCCCATTGGGGTGTGTGTGAACTCTTGGCCCTTCCGTCTGACACTTATCCACTCTTGTAGAAACACAAGCAAATTGGATGCAATCGATGGAAGGGCCAAATCTTGGTCATCCTGTCGGCCATCCGACTGTTGGTTGCCTTGGATAAACGTAGTGATGGCCTCGTACTCCTCAAACCCAAAGTACAGGCGTCCTGCAAACATTCCGAGATGAGTGGTGAGCCATTGGGGCGTCTGGTAGTTCGCTGGCGTGCAGGGAACGGCATAGTAGTCGAGCCTGTTGAAATAGGACATCCTGCGGGTTATGGGAGCGGAGTATGCCACAAGATGCGTCATTGCGTGCTCATTACTTTCTTTCCTTGAGATGAGATCCTCGGCCTCCTCAGGTGTCACCATCAAAGCAGTCTGTGTTTGTGGGCTCCATAGCAACCAGGTGACAGGACGCTGTGTGCTCTTAGCTTAGCATTTTCATACACTTGATGTCAAAGAGGTAAGAATGAGAGGAGAGAGATCTTACCAGAAAGTTGTCGTCCGGTTTTTGCAACTTCACAGTTCGGAAGAATTCTTTCGAAGCCAAGAGTTGGCGGTGAAACATCGCAGCCGCAGCCTCAAACTTTTGGCCATTTTGCGTACGCCGAATGGCAGCGGAAGCAGGTTCATACCCATCTGACGCATGTTCTGGTTGTCCGTTCCTCTCAAAGAGGATTATATCCCTGTGGAGACCACCATACCGTAGTGCCTCATAGAAAATGGGCTTCTGAACCTCTCGGACAGCCTCGACCTCGTGTGCCACTTCTCTCTCCTGTTCGACCTCTTGGAAAGCAGTGCTGCTTATCGAGTCGGAATGGTAAGCCTGGCGTCTCAGACTTGTTAGAAAAGCGGCTAATCCGTGGGATGGTTGCAGTAAAACTCGTGGCGTTGTTTCGAATCGTTTCGGCTGATACATCGTTTGTAGGGTATGATCCTCGACCTGCTGAATCTCATGGATGAATGCCGCTCGCTCTTCCTCGCTGCCAAGATAATCTGGAAATCTGATGGAAATCTCAGAGCGGCGACAAAAGTCGATGCCTTGAGAGCGGTACAGCGGCTGCAACTGCTCTATTCCTCGACATGTTCGCTCAAGCAGCCACTGAACTACATCACGTGAGTCAAGGTGCTCTACATCACTCTTTCTACGATGGTCAAGGATGCTCCGATGCACTTCTGGTGGTGCGAAGAAGACGACTGATTGTGTCGTGGCGAGCTGCCTCATCCGCATCGCGGCTGTGAAAAGTTGAAGTCAGTAACGTATATCTCTGCTCCACTGGCGGAGTCTCGAACCTTGAACAGTATGATCTTTTGTTTGCCCTAAGCCCAGAGTCAGAGCGCCCTTGGCATCTAGCGGCAGCTTCAGGTCGGTTCCACGAGTATGTGCCTCATCAAGGTACACGACGCATTCGTGGAGGTCGTTAGCAAATGAAGAAGCCAGAAGAGGAACTTGTGTGCCGCTTCTAGATACGACGAATGCTTTGTTCTCGGCGTTGAAGTATAGCCCCGCCTTTGCTTGACTGTCTGCGCGCATCCAGTTCTTGACAAGGGTGAGGTTGTCCATCTCTAAGATGTGCGCGCCAGCGTCAATTAATACCCGTATCCCCATCTCCTTGAGCTTTTGAAGTAACATCTCCTCGGAAAAGCGCTGGCCATTCCTGGCTGCGAGAACGTATCTGCGATTCCGGGGCTGCAGCAGGTAGGTCAGCACGTCAGCATTTGTGTGCGCGAGGCTGCCGAGATCATGCTGTTCGATCGTCAACGGCAACAGATATCGGTTGTCATTTGTCCCACTGAATCCGGTCGTCAATGGAGTACGCTGGCCGTTAGTCCGTTCTGAGTCCTGGAACTCCTGCGGGCGCCAGAGTGGAATATCCCATCCGGAAGCACCAATCTGAGTCTGAAAATGCTTTGCATGGACTGGGAAGACGAAATGGTTTAGGAACCGGTCGATGACAATGACGTTGTATCGCAGATGCTTCCAGAGGTCGTGGAGCTGAAGCTCATCATCCACGTTGATGACGCTCCATTCCTGCAGCTGACACGGTAATGTCTTGGAGCTTCCAACCCAGCGGCTATACTCACTAGCCGGGTCATCGGATCGGAGGACATGGAGGACACATTTTTGAAGCTGTGTGATGTCCAGTCCGGCAAAATAAAATGAGAGGCAAGTGAGCATGATGCATACATCGGGGTGGCCCCATTCCGCTCGGTCAGATGGAACTCCTTTCGCATGGTATGGTACAGCCACTGGGTCGCGCTTTGGGTGCAGGCCGTACTGTACATTCCACCTCTTCTTCAAAGTGAGGAGTAGAATGCCATGTGCCAGCAACCCCCTAAGCAGATATATGGTCTTCATCATGGAATCCTTTTCCCTGAAAGTGGCCTCCACGTGTCGCTCATCGTCTACGTGGACCTGAGGGTCTCCAATGAAACGTTTCACAACGTTGCGGTCTTGCTGTGAATATTCCTCAAGGATGAGAAGCCTGGCTCTTCCGAATGCGATCTGATCCACAAGCCGCGCCACCAAAGCATTCTCAGCATCTGAGCGGAGAAAGAAGACCCAAGGAAACCCGCCTCCTTCCCTTTCCACGACTTGGACACTGTGGGGAAAGTCTTTTCTCAAGGCCTTAAGGTGGCTGCGGACGAGATCAAGCAACGTTTCCGCTGTCTGCCACCTGGACGGATGGCCATCCAAGCTCTCTTGAGGTCCGGATGGATATATCAACTGTGTTCTTGGGGCGAGAGTGAAATCACACTCGTCTAAGACGTCGCGACTTACTTCATCCATCCATTTCTGCGCCTTGAGCGTGGACTGAGCTTCTTCGATTTTACCATCCAAGAGCCGTTGAGTCCCACTCAGTTTGAATGAGAGGATATTCTCAGCGAGCGTAACAATGATTCCGCAGCTGGACATAATTGACTTATGGATTCCCATGAATGTGTTAACCGATTCGAGCGTAGTCGGAGTTTGGCGGGAGAAAGGCACGCTTCTCACTTCGCGGCCAAGCAGGTTTCCCAACCGCCCCTGTAGGACCTGCGCCGTCTGCGCGAGCAGTGCTCTCGGGACAACAACTCTTACGAGCTGATGTGAATCAGCTAGGACTGCGGCGACCATTGGTATGATGCACGATGTTTTTCCTTGCCCCATATTCATTTGCAAGACGGAATTCCCTCCCGAACATGGTGATATGGTTGAGAGTGCCACATCGACCTGGTGAGGCCGTATGAGAAGATTTCCGTCAATCTCGAGAAGTAGCCAGTCCGGATATTGGACAGGGTTCCAAGTTGCGTGACCTACATGTCCAAACTCTTCAGCCATGGCCTTGTCGTTCTGTCGCATCCGTGCGTCGTCTATTCTGAGGTGCTGCTGCAAATCTGTAACGGATCTCCCGTACTCGATAAGAGCATCTTTCATACCAACTCCAAACTGAACTTTTGCGGTCGTTCGGAGCCGTTCCAGAACCGTTACAGGGCTGATGCATGGCCACAATCCTCCACATTTCAGCCAGAGAGCGCAACGGTTGCTCGCCTCAAGAGCCAAAGAGATTCGGTTGAACTGAGCCGAAGCGGCTTTGTAAGCATCGGTTGATGAGTGGATTATCCGAACTGGTGGCACTTGAGTACCTTCTCGCGTGTCGGTGAATCTCTCGACAATCTCCAGTGCCTGCAAACTTTGGGTGAGATCTTTTGCATACTGTGACCGGACCTCTGACTTTGATGAAATCATTGGCGTTATGATTGACTGCAGCTCCTGCATCTCAGATGATACGGTGTGACGTTCTGAAGCTTCGTCAGATGTGCTGGACTGCACTGCTACACCTTCGTCGTGCATAGCGATTTTCGGCCTTTCCTCGCCGTACACTTGATCGACTTCTGATTCTCGAAGGACGCACGATTCTTTGAATAAGTCCTCAAGATGCGGTACAGAGCTTCCACGAGGGGCGTAAAGAGTGATTCTGGAGTTATTAGACACAGCCTTCATGGTGCGGGGGCGTTTTCTGATGGTGAGTCGGTTGAGGACACTTTGAACGCAATCAACCCATTCGGAAAGCTCCAAGTTGCGCTGTAGGCGCACCCAGTCTCTCCTGACGGCACCAATAGCGTTTGGAATGTTCATAAAAGAGAGGATCTCCTCTGAAATGCCTTCTACCGATGGCAAGGAGCATGGCCACTGCGAAGCAAGGATACTGGCTACCTGCTGACAGTTGGCGTCAATATCTGCTCTTGCTTTCCGGCGAATTCCTTCGTAGGGCGTGCAAAACGGAGCCATCAGCCGTGACAGGTAGCTTGCGGATGGCGTTTGGTGGAACTGGAAACCACTGTATGATGGCCATTCAGGGAGCTCCAGTGCTTTGAGGTCGTCTAAAACCGCGAAGGCAATCAGGATTCTAACAAAACCCATGTCAT